CATTTTGTCCAGGCTAATAATTAGCTCTCTATTATTTCCCATATCCGAGCTGGCTCTGAACTGCATTGTGCTGTGCAGACTGATCTCCAGTCTCCTGATCTAACTGCTGAATTAGGTCACCTCCACAAGCTTGGATGGAGTCAAATAAGCATGCCAAGCTTTTTGAAGGTCAGCCTCAGCTTGAAAAAGGCACACCGCAACCTCACCACCAGGTCCTTAAAATGAAGTTTGTCCTCCTCCATAGATACTGAGCTATGCTGTAGGTGCCCAGTATTAGTCTGCTAGTGATTTCTCATTTTTAGAGGCAAGAAGTCTCCCCATCTGTAAGATGGAGCAAGCCTAGCCTACCTGCCTGAGCAAAGCAGTTTGAGATTTAGGGGCGAAAGGGTGGCTTGCGTGCGTGGTAAGAATAAATAATGGATGCGTTAAAGCATCTGCATTTCTGCATGACATCCTCCAACACAGACCACATATTATGTCCCATTCCCAGCTCTGCCAGTGACCTGCCGGTCGAGTCACTTCCCCTTCTACCTGTTGTGCCTCTTGTCCATTTACACTCCGCGGCCTTTTTTACTAGGCCTTTACACTGCACAGAACACAATGGGACCTCACACTTAGTCAGGGCTTCTGGGCATTACCATGACCTAAGCAGTAGTATCCTTTCCTCAGTTTTGAGATGTACAAGGAACAGGTGCCTTTTGAATCCATGTACATGCAGAGACTTTCAGGAGAGGCTGAAGAGGAAGATAAAGTTACATATACACCATGCGGGCATGCCCTGAAATTCATTTCCTAAAAGGACAAAATTCCCCAACAGTGAGAAAGTGGAGTCTCCATCAGTATCTCAAACTTTCACTCACTCATGGATTTGGCATCAATAGGCTCTTTAGACAGAACAGGCTCAGCTAGGGCTAACAGCAGGTATAAGAGTGATACCCATGAGCGATGGTGTAATGCCATTCCAAGTCACGGGTCTAATTGGAAAGCCCCCTAACCTTCTGGATTTTTATTTTTAAGCTAAAAATTCAAATGCTTCCAATCATTAGGAAAGCCATTCTGAGATTTGCAGACATTCAACTGTCACAACCGAGCCTTTATTTCAAAGCAAGAAAGTCAGGAGGATTCATAAACATTTCCAGGATGCCTTTTTACTTGCTCTGTAAGGCTATACAATTCAGCTGCACACCGGTCCTTTGCCATATAGATTTGAATGTTAAATGAATATTATATGGGAATTTTTTTAATTAGCTTTATATTGTATACAAAGTCCCCTGAGGTTACCTGCCAGGACCCACATCAACAACAATTAGCTGTTAATAGGTTGTTCCATCATCCCCTCTCACTTACACCACTGGGAAGAGTTAAAAACCTTGTACCCCCTTCTTAAAGCTTGCCCGTGTCCTTAACTAAAGTCCCATAGAAAAAACTGTCTGCAAAATGAGCTTTTTCTTAGTCTGGCTGCGTATCCCTCCTCTCTCTCTTGCCCTCGAAAAGCTGCTTGTTCTTTTAGACCCCAGAGGAGAAGTTATGGAGACGCTTCTCATCTGGCTACAGGGAGAATCGGGAGAATAGATCGTCAGACTTCTTCCAGGGTTTTCAAAGTTAAACATCCAGTCATACACCCAGCTCTTCTCTTTCCACTGCCCTTTATTCTGCACAAGCTTTATCAGTCTCCTTTGCACTTCTCTCCTACGTAGCTTCACCATGCCTGGAATCTCCATTTATTACCTGTCTTCTCCTCCAAAAGATAGTTCAGCAAGAAAACACAGCCCTCTTCTAACCCTTTATTTTAACTCAGAATCTGGGTGAACATCTGTATTTGCCTGCCTGCCATTACACTATGTTTTTCAGATACATGAGTGAAATCTTTCAGAACCTACTTTCCTCCACCTCCAAAAATTGCAACCCACTTTTTCTTATGGATTTCTGACAGTTAAGGCTAGAAAAACAAAATCAATGGATTTTCTTGTTTGCAAAACGTTAGCTCAATCCTTCATTTTCTTCGTCTCACGGACACTTCTATATATTCATGTCTTCATTGCAGAGTTCATCCAGATGACTGGCACCTGGGTCAGAGTATCTAGGCTGGCCTAGCCCAGAGTGAGCAGCCATGTTTAAATTAACTGGTCAATTTGTGTTTCTGTCCTCCAGCACACTAAAACGTCTCAGGGTAAATCCCAAGGTTCTTAACTTCTTAGTACTACTGTAAATTGTGTCACCCTGTGATACTTCCCCAGCAAACGGCAGGAAAACGTATTCTGTATTTCTGAACACTGGTACCGCAGGAAGACAGCGGAAGACTTTCAGCTCCTCGGCGTTTAAGCCTACATCCGCGCTGCAAAGCGGGCACATTACTAGCCTCAGCAACAGCTGTATACTGTAGTCAGCCCATCAGCAAGCCAGTTTAGTTTGGAAGCACCAAACTAAAGTAAGACTTGCACACGCATGAACACGGGCTGGGCAAGAGTCACTGCCGAATTAGAGCCTGGGATAACTCTGCCGCAAGGCCTTGCCCATAGCGGCCAGTTTTCTATCCATGAGACAAAAAACAACTTCCCTGCAATGCACAGAACAGCTCAATTTAGTTTCATACACAAGTTCAGCAACAGAACATTCCCCATCAAGCTACACCTGGGCTCAATAAGATGCTAAATACATCTCATGACCTTTTCAGGCAGTCATTTGGAACCGCGTAAGAAAGAAATGAGGCAAAAATATCTGCACACAAAACAGGATTATCTGCAACTTCTGTCGTAGCCTCCTAGTCTGCTCATAAAGCTAATGGCCTGCAAAGGAGAGCCTGAACGGGTGTTAACCTCCCTTTGGCTGCAGCTCTGCCTGCTGCTAGGCACACATCTCCTGTCCACCTCTCCTCTCGCTTGACACCTGGCCAAAAACATGTTTTTACATTCATTCTGCATTCACTTGATTAAACAAAAAGTTACTGATTTTGCCTACTCTATTCACTCCTCAGACCCCGTCACATTCTTTGATCTGTCAGTATAGAGTTTAAACTTCATGGGTATGGGAACATGCTATTTTGGGTATTCCTATGTCTTCCTGGATGGTGCTAGGGAATAGTACCATGAAGATGCATTCTTCCCATGGCCAGCACAACAAATGATGAATGTCACGTGTAGCTACTTTTTGGTGCATGTCCCACGTGCTCTCAGCTACAGGAAAACTTTCCAACACGTGGCATGCAAAGAGTAGGTGGGGCACGTGTTCACAGTAGCGTTCTCCAGCACTGTCCAACACCACGTAGACATGCCCTTTGCATTCTTCAGTTTCCTGTGGTTCCTCCTCCATACAGACTTTATCAGCCTTACTAAAATTTCTACTGATTAGAAGCCTTTTTTTTTTTTTTTTTTT